GCCGAGTGGTCACAAGTGCAACTGCCGAGCAAGGGGTCTCGGGTTCGATTAAGTCGGGCAAAGTATTAGGTTTTTTTAAAAATTGTCGTTAGTAATACGGAGTCTGGAACTGTGTCCGGTATATGGCAATAGGCTCACCCCCTATTACATGGGACTCATAACATAAATAGTGAGAAGTGTGGTGTTACATTGTACTGTGGTATAATGCACCTCTGCCTACCCCTTTCGAGGATAAAAGGCAAGTTATGTTATGTATGTACGTAGGTATGTTATGCAATAAAAGTATGTTTCTTATTTATCACGATCATAATAATAGAACATATACAATATACATATGTCTTTGTCCAGCGGTCGCCGGCCTATGGCGTAATGCCTGCTTTGTATCACCATCCCAATCCCCTGGTATGACTGCAGTGGTTGGGGTAGCGAGGGCGGAAGGCTGCTCCGGTTCGGTTTGCGCTTAAAAATACTATGCCTATTATTATTATTATACATGTACCCTAAATAAGCTGTTAAGATTTCTGTGTAAAAATAATAATGTAGTCTTCAACGGTACATAGATATTTTGCTGACATTAAGATCGGTACGATCGCGCGGTATTGCTTAGGTATATAAACACATGTCAAGTAATTATCGAAATGAGTGTGTTTTTACTAACAAAGAAGTAAATACCTAATGAGAAAGGAATTGCCAACTGTGCTATACTGTACTAAACTTGGGTGCAATAAACTTTATAATTATATTATCCGAGTGATCTTTTCTCTGCACACTCCAGCATCAAATACAAGTGTACGAATTGTATCTACAAATAAATAAATAAATATAAATTAAGCTTTTTCTTTCTGAAGATCTGAAGATCTGGGTGCTTACTCTTGAAACCAATCTCAATGTCAATGCAATTTTAATCCAATGAAAACTCAATAATTATTCAATGTCAAAACTATACAACCCTTATCGTAGCTGTTAACAACAACATTCAGAGTACGGAATATAAAGCCAAACTCAATACCATTTAGTTCATTCAATATCCACGCAATACGGATGTAATGGGCGCTTGTGTTGCAACTCAAGAGTACGAAATTTCACAATACCAATGTCGATCGATCGGAATTGGATTCAAGAGAAAGGCCCGTAGCTTTTTATCGGAAGGTGCTGTTCATAGCTATAATAAAGAAAAAGATTTCTGTGGTGCTGTTAGTATAATAATATAATAACGTACCTGAATGCTACCTGGTAGATGTCATTTTTCTGCCAAATACCTACCAGATTTTATAGCTTCTTCTAGGAGGTCTTTTAGGAGGCAGAGTGGGCTAGAATTTTAAATGGCGGCAGCGGGGATCTGTCCTAAATCACGGCAAAGTAAAGAAAGTGTTAAAATCATGGATCATTAATGATCCCCGTTCAAATTCAACTTTTTATTACATTATGTCATGTGTTCTGTATAAGCAAGCGTGGTGATTAATGCTCAAACCTTCCCCTTCTCCAAAATAATACATACACAAATACAGAACAGATTATTATAAGAAGTTTTATCAAGGCCCACGTCTGACATGCAGCTTGATAAATCTATCTATTGTAGGCCTTTCTAGCCTTTCTGCAAACACCTTCAAAACGCTGTTGCTGCTTCCCCTTAGTCTGCGCAACACTGATGCCATTTTTTTGCGCATGATCGCGAAATAATCATCTGTGTGCTCATCCGTGAACATACCTGACGTACTACAGTAAGGTGGAAGCCTCAACAGCGCCACAGCAACACGTTTTTATATTGAATGCGCAGTGCGCTGTCCTCTTTTTGGGTATGATTGGCCCACAGACTGCTGGTGTAAAATATTTGACAAACGCCTTAAAAAGTGTTATTTTAACCGGTGCTGAACAACCAGCAAACCTGCGCTCCCTCACAGCCAGCGCCCTGCGCTCCCTTTCCATATCTAGATCAGATGATCTTTTAAGTCCTCTATAACAATATGGCCCAAATATTTGAACGGATTACCTCTGAATAGGGTGTAATACCCTCAGTCCAGAATAATCCGTTCAGTTTTACGTGTGGGACATATAAGGGAGTTTTTTCCTTAAAATCCAATAACTCACTTTTGGGACGTGTGATTTTTGAACTTGTGGGGTTATACTTCAGCCCATGCTGTTCAGCGTATCTTTCACATATAGTTAGTAACTTTCTTATTCCCCCGATTGTGGGGCTCAGCAGCACCATATCGCCTGCGTAACTTAAATTATTTAAACTTACTCCGTCTACATGGCAACCGACATGAGTGCTGCTGAGTAACATATAAATATTAAATATTCTCGGGGAAGTCAGACCCCCCGCCTCACACCACATTTCAGTTTATATGGATCTGATATGACCATTTAACAAAACATGATATCTTTGTTGTTTGTACTTTATACATCGAAAGTAGTCCTTATGGCAAGTTCATTTGCTGCGGGTACGTAACAGAAATAGATTTCAGTGTACCTCTATAATGACAAGGTTACAATCAATACATAGTATAAAACAAAGTCGCTTTCGCTGTATGTCCGTATGTATGCTTAGATCTTTAAAACTACGCAAAGGATTTTGATGCGGTTTTTTTTAATAGATAGAGTGATTCTTAAGGAAGGTTTGTATGTATAATACATGCATATTGCACCCGTGCGAAGCCGGGGCGGGTCGCTAGTTATAAATAAAACCAATACGATATCCACACAAAACATGAAACTTTATTGTTTATACAATTACAATAATCAGACGTAACATAAATACAAACAAAACACGCGATATCTTATATTTATTTAATACAAATTATTAACAATTCATTACAATATTAAGTCGCATGCTTAAACTGCAAATATTTTATGCACAGCTTTAATAAATTTATCAGGAATTTTGCTTCCTACAGCTACAATTATCTACTTTAAAAACGTGCCCTATACTAGGGCAACTACGTAAATAAGGAACCCTCTGTGGCTCGAAACCAGTAGAGCTTTACTCCGTATATTTACGTGAGTCACTCGTGATTTTTAGTTCATTTACAATTAGTCGCCATTTACAAACAATATAGGTCAGTTGCACATTTTATAAGATAATAAATTAATAATGAGATCTTTCTATTATTCATATATATCAATTAAAATTGTAAAAATTCAGATTTTTGTATAAAATATATCATAATTTAAAATTAACTGTGTATAATTTCAACTATTTATTAACTAAACATTTATAATATTGTGTTTGTTTTTGTGTAAAACCATATCTATATAAAAACTCACACCTTTATCCCGTAGTATACAGAAACTACAGAGCGCCACCTACTACGCTCCTTACATACTTCTTTAGCTTCCATCACATTCATACATCTGATGGTATAGAGAAACTACAGAGCGCCACCTACTACGCTTCTTACATACTTCTTTAGCTTCCATCACATTCATACATCTGATGGTATACAGAAACTACAGAGCGCCACCTACTACCCTCCTTACATACTTCTTTAGCTTCCATCACATTCATACATCTACTCATGCAATGTTTCACTAATTTTAAAATCCAGACAAACATTTTGCAATTATTGCTTGGCGATTAAATGAGAGTTTTCGAGTCCCTAGATGCGCTAGCGTAGCTTGAGAACTATTACCAAATAGCATATTAATTTATAATCTCAAGTCGAAGCCAAAGTATTTATTGAAATTAATTCTTAAACAAATGCTTTTAGTACGTCATACACCAGTTGAAAATCATCCCCCAAATTTTTCATACAAAAGTAGTCTCTAATCATTGGAAATAAGGTCTATAATGTAGTTAGTGGAGAGCGGTCACCGGTGACTGCATGGGGATGTATACCATATACTCTAAAAATGAAGCTAGGTGCTCGTACCAAAAAACGAACAAGAAACTCCATGGTAACTCGTTTTGACAGCAAAGCTGATTGGACAAATTGAACTTTAATACACTAGCACCATCTCTTGAGCGCAATCGAAAACTCTCATTTAATTAAGCCCATAAGATAATACTTTATTTATTTAAATTATATTTCTTTGGTACGACTTTAATGTAACTACATGATTAAATATTCGAAACTTATAATTAACTTACAAAATATAGTATTGCATATTTCATTATTGTATTAGTTAACAGCTAATATAATTGTTACATATTGGCATTTACAAAGTAAAATCCAAGCACTCTTTATGGTTTGTTTTTATCATTTCACATTGATCTTGGCCTAAGCGGGTATGGTTCAAAAACTTACAAATACTATACAATACTGCGTTTAATTTTGATATTTTTATTCCATAATAGAAATTTAGAATTCAGTCAAAACTAACAAATGAAGTCAAAAATGTAATTGCTACTTCTAATTTTAGAAACTTATTACTAGTTCATAATACTTGATAAGAGATGGCGTTATTTACAATAAGCTAGAAGCCTCTTAGAATTACTATAATTAAATCAAATATTTTAATAATAAATTAATAATACGTGTGTAAATTAAAAATAGTATATGTGTAAGCGTTTGGTACTCGAGAAAATTGTTATTTTTATATATTCAAAGTGAAAAAGAATAATATTTAAGGTGTATATAATATTTGTGATGAAAATAACAAATATATGTATTTGTCGAGGTTTTGGAAAAAAATACAGTGAAACCTGGTTAAGTGAGATATCAAGGGACCTGCCATGTCGTTTCACTTATAGAGGTATTCCATTTACCCAGTGTCTCAGATATACAGGTATAAATAAATATCTGTCTCATTTACAGAGGGTTCCATTAATAGAGGTGGACTTGGAATTAGGTGTGGAATATGTGAGTAGAATAAGAATGAGTAAACAATGTTATCTCAGTTACAGAGGTTTATGCATATAAAATTTACTCGCTGTCTCGGTTATAGAGGTAACTATGATGATAAATCGAAAGAACAAATCCCAGATATAGAGGTTTACATCGTCCCACTAACAGAGGTAATTCAGTGCCAAAGTGTTGGGACCTCAGCATGAGTTCCAGTTATAGAGGTTTCACTTAACAAAGTTTCACTGTATTAAATTTTAACATTGCCCCAATATTTTTACATTATACAATGACTTATCTTGGTAAGTTAAGGACAAACAGACCTCATGGCACCTTAGCGCCACCTGGTGGACAAAAAGCCGTGCCTTCATTGCCAGTGGCGTGCACAGGTGTCGAGACAGGGTAGGCAACTAAATAATTCATTGCTTATATGCTTTAAACCCACACGTGTTAAATGTCTATTGTAAAAATCCTGTCTACTTCTTTCATTGTATAATTTTATTGTACATGAAACCGTAATTGCTACTTTTTACCTAATAAAAAATTGCTAGCAAAAATGTGTACCTAATTATAATTGCTAACCATTTATTGGTTTTGTGAGAGGGGATTATTAGCAATGACTCCTTCCTTCCGTCTTCGGTGAGGCGAGGAGTGTCAGACTCTTACTGACTAAATACCACCCCGTTCCTACTCTTGCATAGAGACAGAACCAAGGTAGGTAACCAGGAAAGTTGTATCATAACATTAGCTTGCATTATAAGTAAGCCAAATCTTCTTGATCGAAGAAGACATTATGCTGACTACAAGTAACTTGGGATTAGGACATGAAAATTAATATTGCTAAACTCTTTTCCAGCAAGAGTTAGTATTAAAGTGGCAAGAATATTTACCGTACTATTTATAAAGCAGTCAATAATAAATAAATATAAAACTGAGGGAAGTAATTATCTTCTTCTCGAATGGTATCTTCTGATTCATTTCGTTGCGGGATACAAGACAGTTGTTCATGTCCCTGAGACGTTGGACTTCAGTGTTCCGGTGTTTGCATGGTTGTTGTTTGCTTTCTTTGTTGGAATCAGCCCGCCAAAAATTTTACCGCTGTAACTCTTGTGCACCAGGATCTACAGTAGATACAACTATGGAAACACCGAAACGCTGAAGTCCAACGTCCCAGGGACATGAACCCTTGGATCCCCCGCAACGAAATACATCAGAAGATATCATAGATTCCACTGCTCCTTCTATTAACTGCCCACAAAAATCTACAAGACATACTAGACCAAAAAAGACTCAACTGATAATGACCTCAGCTTCATCATCAGGCCCATATTTACTCTTCATGGTATCCCAAACTTTAAGAGCAATGGAGGCATCAGTGTCCGTACAAGTATAGGTCTGTCCTGGATGCTTTCTAGTGTAATGCCGTAAAACATTCTGTTTATGCGAAAACCTTTTAGGGCATACGTGACAGAGGAAATATTTCTCATTTATATGGGTACGCATATGATACTTTAATCTACTTTCTCTAGGAAACTCTTTATGGCAAATATCGCAGACTGTATGCTTAACTTTCTCATGTCCAAGCATATGCCGTTGCATATTGTGCTTATGCGAGAACTTCTTCTTGCAAATCTCACAAGTAAAAGGCTTTTCGCCCGTATGGACTCGCATGTGAGGTTTTAGGAGACCGGAGCACGTAAACCCTTTCCCGCAAACTGGACAAGAATAAGGTCTAACATCTTCATGCAGCATCATATGACGAATTAAAGTGTTTTTGTATTTGAAGGTCATCTTGCATATTTCGCATGCGAATGGTCGTTCCGTATCATGCTTTTTAAGATGGGATTTTAACATAGATTCTCTTTCGAAGGTCTTATCGCAATCTGTGCATGTAAACGGGCCACTGGTCGCGGTTTTACAGCGGTCTTTAGATAAATGTTTTTTCAAATTAGCCCGGAATGAGAACGCGTGTGAACAGTTAGGGCATTTGAAGGGTTTTTCTGTCAAATGGGTCTTTTTATGCTGCATCAAATTGGAGGAGGATTTGAATTTCTTTGGGCAGGCGTCGCATTCGTAGCTTTTGAAGTCTGGGTCTATGTGCGTATGCTTTTTAAATATATGTCTGTCTAATCTTATCTTGTTCAGGAACTGTCCAGGACATTGTGGGCAATTCATAGTTTTACGAGTGTGCAGCAAAAGATGGCGGACGACATTGCCACTGTTTGCGAAAGTTTTCCGACATATCCTGCATATGAAACGCCCTTCTGGACTCACTGTGTAGTATTCTGAAAAGAAGAATTGTTTGATTAAGAATATTTAAAATAAAAAGATTTTAAGAGTGGAAGAGCCATGCTTCGGCACGAATGGGCCGGATCGAGCGCAGTGTTACCAGGCCCGAGCAGAAAACCGACGTGTAACAACGATTGCGTTGTGTTTCGTCTTGTGAGTGAGGTTACCAGAAGCCCAATTATCCTCCCCCCTTCCCCAATTCCTGAATCTTCAACAATCCTCAAATTCTTAATCCCCAAAAGGCCGGTAACGCAGTTGTAATGCCTCTGGTGATCCAGTTGTCCATGGGCGACGCCGATTGCTTACCATCAGGTGATCCGTCTGCTCGTTTACCATAAAAAAGATAATTTCTAAATCAATGCTAATATTGTAAAGCTGAAGAGTTTGTTTGTTTGTTCGCGCTAATCTCAGAAACTGCTGGTTCGAATTAAATGATTTTTTTTTGTGTTGCCAGTCCATTTATCGGAGACAATAGAAGCGTAACAGTGGGCTTTTATCCCATCATCACGAACAAACAGGGGCCTTAGTCTGCTATTACAATAGGGTTGATGACAGGGTATGAAAATTAATAATGTAATTAGTCCGTCAGAATGAAAAAATATTAGACACGTGTTTTTTATTAAGTCGTGTAAAAGTATAATACTTAGATAAAATGGAGTTAAGTTTAGGAGTGGGAGGTGGTTACGTCACTACATTTCAAATTTCAAATCAATATATCGTATATAAAGCATTTAATTTTGTGAGAAAAGCAAAGATACGTGTCTAATATTTTAAAATAATCTACCAGGCGGACATTAAAATAAAATTTAGGAAACTACCCTATTAAGTATAACATTAGCTACTGTCTCTGTACTGAATCAATCTATATTTTCTTACATGCTCAGTAAATCGTGGCGGATTGTATAACTACCCACAGTCATATATCATGAATGTAATTTCGCAATATAGGTGATATGATCAAACACGTCCTGATTACCGCTGTAGGTACTCTCCTATCAATACGTTATCAAAATATTTGGCCGTTAGTCACTCATTTGCGTATGCGTACTGACGTAGGTACTCACCAGGCGTGCAGTTCCCGCCGGTGTGTTAAGTGCCGACTAAGGGACTACACATCATCATCAGCCTATAAATGCCCACTACTGAGCAAAGCCTCTTCTCACACGGAGAAGGTTTGAGCATTAATCATCACAATTGCTCAATGCGGGTTGGTGATTTCAAACTTTTAGAAATTATAAGCTCAGGTTACCTCACGATGTTTTCCTTCACCGTTTGTCAGTGGTGTCTAAATAATCTTAGAAAGTACATATAACTCGGAAAAAGTCACATTGGTACTTGCCGTTGGTAGGTTTCGAGCCCGCACCCTTATGCATGAGAAGCGGGCGTCTTAAACCTCCGGGCCACCACGGCACCAGACACCAGGGACTACACATTTGATAGATATATATATTTTTATGATGGGGCCGCCACAACCTAACAAAACCGCTGCAACTCCTGTGCACCAGTATCTACAGTAGATACAACCATGCAAACACCGGAACACTGAAGTCCAACGTCCCAGAGACATGAACAACTGTCTTGGTTACCGCGACGAAGTAAATGAGAAGATATTATAAGAGGATGTGAAAAAACAAGTTTCCACATACCTCGGTGAATTTAATGTAGGAGACAGAATGTCTTAAGCCTAAAAGGCACAAAAGGGACTGCACCACTGGGAGAAGCCCAGTCGCCAAGCACCACGGTGACTTAAAACTAAGTGTCTTTGTCAGAGACCGGACAGCAGCGCTCTCTAGAAAGAGGAAGAGGCCTTTGGTCAGCAGTGGACACTTAAAGGCTGTAGATGATGATGAGATAATAACTACTTACTTTTATATTCCACTCGCGATGTAGTAGCTTTGAGTTCGGCGAGGTCATCGGAACTGGGATAGTCGGACAGATCTGATGTTCCCTCGTACGCAGGATCCTCAGGTTCAGGAACGTCTGACAAATTATCCTCTTCTGCCACCTGCTGATTCGATTCCTGGGAGCTGACATCTTCCTGTAATCAAAATTGAGGAAGCTTGGAAAAATACGGCACTTGTGGGTCTTTAAATATGTCTCGCATTAGGATTTACTACGTGCAGCGGGTTAGATTCCCGCATAGAGCAAATTTTGTGTAAGCTCAACAAATTGTTGTACCCTGTCTGTGTGTGATGTGTATGTGAACTTGTATGTTTGTAAACGTACACACGACATAGGACCCATCCTTGTGTGGGGCCTACATAGTATAAAACAAAGTCGCTATCCGCCGTCTGTCTGTCCCTATGTATGCTTAGATCTTTAAAACTACGCAACAGATTTTGATGCGGTTTTTTTAATAGACAGAGAGATTCTTAAGGAAGGTTTATAAGTAAGATACATGCATATTGCACCCGTGCGAAGCCGGGGCGGGTCACTAGTGTTTCAATAAAAAATAGAAACTTACACAATTCGGCTCAGACTTAACATATAACACGTTCGGTTCCGGCGCAGGCTGCTGCAGTAAAGGTATTTCAGGTGGGGAGGAGCTGGAAGGCTCCTGTGTAGGAGGACCATAGGGCGTTTCTTCGTCATCTTGAAGTTCTGTTTTTATGCTGCAACAAAGATTTATCATCAACATTGTCTACTGTCTTCTGCCAGCGGCGCGTTCCCGTAGAATAAAAGTCAGAAGAACAGCAATAAGTGACCACTGCTGACCAAAGGCCTCTTCTCGCACGGAGAATGTTTGAGCATATTTTAGGATATTTTTTATTGTTTTAATTTTCCAAAATAAACGTAGCTTGTTACTCCTTAGTACATCAGCTATCAGCTACCTGCGTATAAAAGTCTTGCAAAAACGGTCCAGCCATTCCAGAGATTAGCCAATACAAATAGACAGACAAAAATGGTCAAAAATTTTATTTTGGTACTAGTTTTTACCCGCGGCTTCGTTCGCGTCACAAAAGGACAAAAGTAGCCTATGTGACATATACCAATACACGCAGCGCCATCTATACCAATACTTTTGTTTCCCTAGGGAATATTAAAATTTTCCGGGATAAAAAGTACCCTATTATTTATTCCGGACTTCTAACTTTACGTCTGCAAAAATTCAAAGCAATCGGTTAAGAAGTTACGGCGTGAAAGCGGAACAAACAAACAAACAAATTCACTTTCCCATTTATAATAGTAAGGAAAGGATGTGTATCGTATGTATAGTCAAAGTCAAAGCATTTATTTCAATTAAACCATAATTTGGTACTTTTGAAACGTCAACAAATACAAAATAAATAATAGTCTGTCAGTCAGTCCGTCAGTGAAGCTAGGTGAAGCTAGGTGCTCCTTCTAAAATGTAGATTCGAATGGAGAAGAACGAGCAAGAAACTCCATTCGTTACTCTATTTAAAAAAGTATGTTCTACAATGTCTCTGATACATATTTCAATACTGTACGTATATGTAAGAACAATGCAAAGACACGCTTGACGCATTATAGGTACTAATTACGAACCTTACTAAAATAAAAAAAAATCTTATAGTCTAACATGGTGCTCACATATGTATACTGACAATCCATAGAAATAGTGCTTCTATACAAGAAAACAGAAACTCTTTGTTTCAATAAAGAAAGAAATGCTCGATGCCATAAGGAAACTAGATTGTCTACATTAGAATTAAAGTATTAAATTATGTATTATATTACCTACTATTGGAATTTAACTACTGACTACATTTGAGTATTGTCCAGTGGAGCCGAACCAACATGCTGCCAAGCATTCTTATCTTCAAAATAATCTGTCAGTGTGTAGGAAGCTTGATTACATAATTCGCGCTTAATCTATGTTTTTTATATACACATGCATGTAGTAAAAAGCGGTTATTTTATTTAATACTAGCTTTTACCCGCGGCTTCGCTCGCGTCACAAAAGGATAAAAAGTAGCCTATGTGACATATACCAATACACACAGCGCCGTCTATACCAATAATTTCGTTTCCCCTCGAGAATATACAATTTTTCCGGGATAAAAAGTACCCTATGATTTAATCCAGACTTTTAACTTCACGTCTGCAAAATTTCAAAGCAATCGGTTTAGTAGTTATGGCGTGAAAGCGGAACAAACAAACAAACAAACTCACTTTCCGATTTATAATATTATATATAAGTAAGGATTACAAACAGACACTCCAATTTTATTTATCTGTACAGATTAGGATTAAGTCTAAACCGTATTCGTCGTCACATGTATAAGCAATAGATAGACCGACAATATAGTTATTAAGTAAAAATCGCGGGTTACTCACGTGAATATACTGAGAAAAGCTCTACTAGTTTCGAGTCACACAGGGGTTCTTCCGTGTCACGCAGCCTCTATGTATCTACCTATATCTACTATGCGCGACATTGCCGCGACCGCGCACGCTGCTCATGAGGATGAACCCCTCTCTCTGTGCTCCGAAACTAGTAGCTTTCCTCAGTATATTCACGTGATTAACTCGCGATTTTTAGTTAATTTAGTGTGTCTCACGATAGTTATTATAAAAATATAGTTATTTTTATATGTTAATGTCGCAGTTTATAAAAACAGTCTGTTACGGCATTGATTTCTACTTGAATTCTTAAAAAAGAGTAACGATTGAGTTTCTTGCTTGTTCTTCTCCATATCTCTATTGTGAATCTACATTTTGGAACTACAACCTAGCTTCATTGACGGACGAATGTGTATTTGATGTTTCAAAAGCTTAAGTGAAGCAGACAAGTGAATTTATTTCGGCAAATAAGGCAATATACAAGGCAAGACTTTTACACGTCAATTTAATCCAGCAAACAATGAGGCCGACATTTCCTAACTGACTACTTTGAGAAGAAATGCCGAAACAAACTCACGAGGTCCGCTTCTTCAATCCGTATGCGGTTAAATTCAAATAACACAAATTGAGATCATTTGGCAGGCATTATTTTTTAAGGGGCTAAAATCATCGAATGGCTGCTCCCGGCTGGGTGAGGCGGGAGGGAGTGTCAGACTCTTACTGACTAAAAACCAACCCGTTCCTTCTCCTGCACGTCGAGCCGGACCCCCGGTTACCCGTTAGGTTCTCCGCGACTCCGAATCGGCATCGGCCGTATTGGGCCCCATCTGTGGTGGTCTGATGGCTCTTTGAGGCGCGCGCGGAACGCAACGCGCCGTACGCTCGGGTCTGTTTCTGGTCGGACGGGGAGCCACCCATGATCGCCGTCCGCAGGCCCGCGCTTACGGTGGCCGGAGATCGTCCCGCGATCCCCGACGCCCGGTGTGTCCTTCGCGATGGCTGGGTTGCGAGGAGGCAGTGCTTCGCTGCCTCACGCGTCCCGCCTCCTCCTTAGCTAGCATGACTGCTTCGCAAAAGGAGGAGACGGCATCCCAGTCTCCCTCGCTCCGCATCATGGCCTGCACTAGGCCCGGCCGCGAGAGGTCGCCATCGCCGATCACTTCCCTGAGGGCACGGCGGTGCTCAGCCCACGCAGGGCATTCCGCTGCAATGTGTTCCACCGTGTCCTCAGGGCGGTCCTCGCAAGACAGTTACAAAGGTTCAGGTTTATCAGAGAGCACTGCTGCCCGGTCTTTGTCTTAATCTTTTTACGTTTTAATATTTTTTCCCTCTTATGCAGAGGCTCATAATCCAGCAGTGAACCGTCACTGGTCGTTATGATGATAAAAACAGATACGTGATAATCGAATTACCATTCATCGGTAATTTTATATCGATAACATAATCTTCCTGGAAAAACATGTTGAATGGAATTAAAGTTTCCATTGCGCTGCCTGAGTCATTCATCATGCATGCATAGGTACCTAATCTATAGATAGATAGCTATAAAGACGAAAGATTATGTTGTGTTGTGTATATTTACATCGGATATACCTACTCCGAAACTACTGAACCGATTTGGAAAATTCTTTTACCATCATAAGGCTTAGTTTCCAAGGAGTTTCATAGGATACCTTTTATCAAGATATTCTTAGGGGATCAGGATATTCGATCTGATTTTCCAAGTTACTTTTGTGTACAATATGTCTACTTCCATTCCCCCCTATCAGACGTCTTCACATCACAAACTCCTTTCTCTTATATATCATCTTTCACACAATCTATACAGCTTCTATCTATCCATACTCTTACTAATATTAGAAATAAGAAGAAAGGGTGTGTCCATCTCTTTAACACATCAAACACGCAACGATGGTACCTACGATTTATGTCTCGAGATAGTTAGAAAGCTGCAGAGCAATGTTTTCTCCTCTGACCACGGGGACAGAGCTACGGAAAACAGCTAGCCATAATATTTGTCGCGGAGAACCTAACGGGTAACCGGGGCTCCGGCTCGACGTGCAGGAGAAGGAACGGGGTGGTTTTTAGTCAGTAAGAGTCTGACACTCCCTCCCGCCTCACCCAGGCGGGGGCAGTCATTCGATGATTTTCCCCCCTTAAAAAAAAAAAGCCATAATATTTATTATTATATATTATATTCAGGTATTGTTCACGCAACGTGTGATATTTGTTATCGAATTCCGCTTAAGTTAGATAATATAATACAATTTTGTTCCAAATATACCTAAATGAATAAGGAAAATATGTAATATAATAGATTTATCATTATTATCAATAATCCGTGTTTAGCAAACAATGACATTTTAGTTAGGTAAGAAATTGTATAAACGAATTTACGCTTTGTCATGAGATGTGCACATGTAAACAGCAGCTCATGTAGTGTAGATGTCCAGTCAACAAGGATGTAGCGAGGTTGACTGTCCAGGCGACACACGTACTTAGGTATCGTCATGAGCTAATGTTCACATGTAAACAGCAGCTCATGTAGTGTAGATGTCCAGTCAACAAGGATGTAGCGAGGTTGACTGTCCGGGCGACACACGTACTTAGGTATCGTCATGAGCTAATGTTCACATGTAAACAGCAGCTCATGTAGTGTAGATGTCCAGTCAACAAGGATGTAGCGAGGTTGACTGTCCAGGCGACACACGTACTTAGGTATCGTCATGAGCTAATGTTCACATGTAAACAGCAGCTCATGATGTGTAGATGTCCAGTCAAGAAGTTTGTAGAATGATGTACGGAACTCATTATTTTATAATTATCAGTTGTCATTACTTTTATAATAAGTATAATGTTACTGATATCGGTTGACTCAGCTTTGCTCGTGTATATGACTCATATTTTATTGTATGCTTTATTGATCTGATTGTGGGTTTTCCAAAATGATAACTGACTAAAATAACTTGTTAATTCATATTGTATAAACATGCTTCCACTTCAGGGGGTAGACGAAATCAAACTCTAATGGAACTTGATAATTTTATGACGTTTTGCTCCAACTACATCTGGGAGCAAAAAAACGGAGCAACGTTCTTCTTCACTGGAATCTATATTTTGGAATAAGCACCTAGCTTCACTGACGGACCATGATGCGGAGCGAGGGGGACTGGGATGCCGTCTCCGCCTTTTGCGAAGCAGTCATGCTAACTAAGGAGGTGGCGGGACGCGTGACGCGGACGCGTCCTCACAACCCAGCCATCGCGAAGGACACACCGGGCGTCGGGGATCGCGGGACGATCTCCGGCCACCGTAAGCGCGGGCCTGCGGACGGTGAGCATGGGTGGCTCCCCGTCCGACCAGAAACAGACCCGAGCGTACGGCGCATCGCGTTCCGCGCGGGCCTCAAAGAGCCATCAGACCACCACAGATGGGGCCCAACAGGGCTGATGCCGATTCGGAGTCGCGGAGCGGACCAAACGGGTTACCGGGGCTCCGGCTCGACGTACACCCCCCCGAACGGGGTGGTTTTTAGTCAGTAAGTCTGACACTCCCCCCCGCTTCACCCAGGCGGGATGATTTTCCCATCTTAAAAAAAAATACTGACGGACAGACCGACAGACTATGATTTATTTTGTATCTGTTGACGTTTCAAAAGTAACAAATTAGGGTTTAAATGAAATAAACTTTACTTTGACTTTTAATAAAATACTTGTATCAGAAAATATTTTATCAAGAGTTCGTGTGATGTGATGACGTCAGATAGGGGGGAATGGAAGAAGACATATATTGTGGCGACCACAAGTAACAAGGGATAAGAGCGAAGTCTTTTTAAACTCTGGGGAGACAATTTCAGTACTAAAAGATAAAAGCGTTTATATCATACTATCTTCTTAAACATCATCATCAAGAAGAGCCTATAAGTGGCCACTGCTGACCAAAGACCTCTTCTCACACCGAGGAGGTATGATCATTAATCACCACGCTTACTTAATGCAGGTTAGCGATTTCAAACTATAAATTAATTAGAAGGTAAAAGTTCAGTTTTCCTCTCAATGTTTTCCTTCACCGTATGCCAATGGTAAAGACCTTTTATAAATAGTCTAAAATGTAAAAATACAGCGGAGTATTTTGGCTGTGTACGTCACGTCTCCCGAGTCTGACCTCTCTCCAGTTAGATGACCGCTTATTCGTCATAAACAAACAAAAACTTCCCTTTTATGATACGATGGAATCTGATTATGATGATGATGAAACCGAGGTCTATCCAATACCCTTCGCATAAACAGTTCAAGTTCATATGCCCTCAATTGTCCTGAATCCAGAAAATCCTTACATTATTATGAATCTTCTTTTACGTCTGTCTGTATGAACACGATAAACTAAAAAACTACTTGACGTATTCTTGCCTCGTTTTTACAAATAAATAGTGTGATTCTTGAGGAAGGTTCAGGTACGTATCATTTATGAAAATAAAAAAATATTAAATTTAATCTGTCTTTTACGCTTTGACCCCTAAACTACAGGACCAATTTTGACTACATTTGATACAGATAGCACAAACCTTAAGAAAGGACATTGGACCCAGAAAAAGGCCCTGAGAATTCCATAGGAACGAAGTCAGCAGTAAAACATATATCAGCAACATTCGTTTTGACGGTACGATAACATTTATCAAACGATATCATGTATTTTATCAATAATCTAATCTTTCCACTTATAGTGGTACGATGTCAAATAAAATGTTAGTAAATGGATCAAAGCGAGCAGACCCAAACGTTCTTACGGAGAAAAGTGAACGAAGTCAGGATGTGCTGCCTAGCGGAATTTATCGTTAAATATGTGTTAATTATTGTCAACATTGTTTTTGCCGTGAGTGTATTCATTGTTTATATTAGCATTAACTTTAACATCACCATCTCAGCTCAAGTTCATCCACTATTAAGCCATCTTTTTAAACGGTCTTATTTAGCTTACCCCGTTTGTTTTATTCTTCATTTTCTACCAGTCTTGTCGATTTTGTCTTCTTCAATAGATTTATATCTATCCAAAAGTTATTCAAAGTCTCATCAGAATAAAAACGAGTGACATTTCATTGCTAGACTATGAATGCATAAGAGTTAATCATAATATCAAACCATGGCGATTGCAGTCTAAACGGGCTGAGTGCAACAGCACTCTCTGACAAACTGGAACCTTTTATATTGGTCTCTTCTCTAACTCTAACCCAATTGGGTTAAAAATCGCAAGATCGCAACGCCAAGCGTGGAGATTATGGCAAACCCTCCTAAGTAAAATCGGATGCTGATGATGGATTTCTGTAAAGATAATATCTCTGGAACACTGACTGTCATTGCCGTATAGCAATGCATTTGAAAATCAAACGTAGTGGCAGTCGAAGTTCTGGTTTATAAACTACCTTCCTATGGCCCGTTAATCGACTAATAAGTCAGTTGATTGCTGATAGTCGTGTCGCTCGGACGTGTACACATTTACAGCTTGGTTTGTCAAGTTTATTTAAAATGTACGGAGGTGGTGCAATTTGTGTGGGCCATGGGTGTAAAGGAAGATGTTTATGTGATTTTATGTTATTGGTAGGTACCTAGGTGTATAGTTACATCATCATCGTCTGTTTAACAGCAACATATATTTTAAGAACATTCTTCTTTAGAAGTGCGTGAAGTTCGAACGTCAAGTCAATATTTAACGAAGAGTATTGAAAAAAAAACTATGGCAACATTGGCCACTTTCTTCAAGACAAAACTACACACAGCTTGATCTTAGCATACCTATTTCGTTTCATCTACCATCAATCTCTTCAAAAAGAAATAGAAACTTTTTTTAGTCGGACTTCTTCTACTCATCTCTTTCTCGCGCCATATCCTTGCTTTACCCTTTTTTGTTGGCGAGGGAAACTAAGAGGATCAGATGCCTCCTTCAGGTGCTGAGAGTGGCCACCGGGGAGGATTTAGTGGTAAAAATCCCACATTCCCTCGGCTTTTCTCCAAAAAGCTAGGTGCCTTTTGAAGGTTTCCCCCGTCAACCATTGTTCTACCTACACGTTCTCTGTACATAATACTAACTTTTGATTATTTCTTCTTCCAGCTCGCCGGTCTAGCAATCATCGGCTTGGGTACAGCAGTTCACGTCAATTTGAGTGACTTCTACCAGATCATCGACATCAGGGTGCTGACCATCTCCGTTATCGTGCTAGGATGCATCGTCTTTGTCATAGCATTCTGTGCCTGCTGCGGCGCCATCAGGGAATCAAAATGCATGCTGGGTTTCGTAAGTATATTTAGGCTTTTAAAACAACGAAACAATATTTTAGTAAGGAGTTAGAAAAGTTAGCATTGTTACACGTTGACACTTTAAAATTTACCTAGGTAGGTCTACTACGAGAAGAAACACTGGAACAACTTATTGGTCAGTCTCAGTTTGACCTGTATGTTTGTATTTTTGTGCACGATATTCTCGCGATTAGCTGATCCGATTTTATTGCGGTTTTTCAGAAAAGCTACACTTAGGAGAACCGACTTTAAGCAAAGGGGGGTTAAAGACGGTTTTTTAAACGAAGTCTATAAAACAATTTCACTTTTGATTGTAAGTGGAGACCATTGTTACGCATTTGTAACACCAGAGATATCAAAAATAAGCTGCGTACAATATGAGGATCGTTTCCAGGGATAACGACTCCTCTTCCTATTGTAGCGCGATCGAATATTGGGTTGTGCATCTGAAACTCTCACTAACCATACCATAATATATTGTAAGAGGGTGGTACTTCCCCGGTCAAGATGGCCCATTAAAGTGAAACACATGTCCAGTCAACAAGGATGTAGAGTAGATTTTCCAAGTGACTTTCCAAGTGAAGTGACACGTACTCAAGTATTGTCAAGAGCCATTCACAAGTAAACAGTGACGCATATAGAGCAGAGATTGTCTATCTGAGAAGAATGTAGCGAGGTTGACTGTCTAGGCGACACGCGTACTTAGGTATCGTCATGAGCTAATGTTCACATGTAAACAGCAGCTCATGTAGTGTAGATGTCCAGTCAACAAAGATGTAGCGAGGTTGACTGTCCAGGCGACACGCGTACTTAGGTATCGTCATGAGCTAATGTTCACATGTAAACAGCAGCTCATGTAGTGTAGATGTCCAGTCAACAAGAATGTAGTAAAGTTGCCATAGTTACAAGTACATAGTTTCAATTTAGACTCTGTTTACCCTGTACCGATGAGTACAAGGATGAATCATCAAATACAAAACCCGCTATATTGGTCGATATATGGAGATTAATATTATCTATTCGATAAGACTAACCCGAAAGCACTAAGTAAATAAACATTTTAACTTATCAACTGATAAAATTTAGGCATGCTACGTGTTTTACACCTAAATACATTTTCCGGCTTTTGATATAAAATTAATTTGTATGTCGGATCTTTTTCGGGACTTCGTTTCAATGTCAGACGCCGTTTTTGCGTTCCGTAGGTGGCGCTAGTGGCGAGTTAAGTCCTACCCTTATTTTTTTTCTACCTAGTCGTTCTCTTCATTGCTGAAGATTCTAATTGTTTTGAGATTGTGATGAGATTCGACATGCATATAGCTCAAATTAGATACGCTTAAGAACAGAACAGTTAAATGCTTGAGATCAATGACAACAGAACTGTTAGCTTATACTTATTTAAACTGTTAAATATCGTTGATTTTGGGACAGATTACATTAGACAATTTGATATTGAAATTGGGCTCTGAGAAGACGATTTTTACATACTTTTTTATTAAAATGGCACCCAAATGTCATGCGAATAAGAAAGGATATACTGAAATGTATGTGGTCCCTTCCACGGACCCTCCGATTGTGGAATGAACCGAGCCGAAGATTTCCCAGAGGGCTACAATGAGGGTTCTTCGAAAGAAAATAGGGTTTTTAAGGGTCGGCAATATGCATGTAATGCCAAATTGTTGCCAGCGTTCATAACCACTAACCAGCAGGTGAGCCGTGTGCTTTTTGCTACCATCGTAGTTTAAAAAAAACTTCACGATCTGCCGTTTTATTTGTCTAGATTTTAAAAGAGACTGTTATTTTCTGTGGTTCTTCTCAGAGTAATCAGACAGGAAATACCATGTGTAGTTTAATTTTAAAGTATTGACGTGCAAACGTGCTATTTTGTAGCTTAAGGTACTGTTACACACGCTAATTTCAAGCACGGAAGAATGCTTCAATTGAGCACTTGTCACTTAGTAGCATGTGTGTCGGAATATTGCTCGAAATTAGCTCATTCCAGGCATGCTTGCGGATCGACAGATGACCGATTTTTTAAACATATTTAAATAAGCTCAATAGAACGCCTTTTAGAGTGCTATTTAGATCATTTACAGAAAACAGAAGTTTCAAAATAATAATTTCATTCGGAATAGGGTAGATACCTAATTTTATTTCAATGTCCGTCTGGTAGATTATTTCAAATCATTAGACACGTATTTTTTATTTTCTTACAGAAACGAATACTTTCGACGATATATTGATTTGAAATGTCGCGTGACGTCATTTGATGTACATTTTATACGTAGAATTGACGTTTTACCCCCACGCCTAAACGTTGATTCGTTTTGATCTAAGTATTGTTTTATTATACGACAAAATAAAAAAATACGTGTCTAATATTTTTTCGTTACCTAACTTAAGAAGTAATTAGATTTTTAATTTTCATACCCTGTCATCATCCCTATTGGTTTATACACGTGATATCTCTAACAAAATATCTTTTGTTTCCAGTACGCAGCCTGCATGGCGATCCTGGCAGCTCTTAAAATCTACATCACCGTTGTCATATTCTCATTCTTGGGGCACACCATGGAAACTATATCAAGATGGCTAGATACTGCCTTCAGAAACACTGACCTAGAACCAGTTTTCAACGGGATGGAGATACTGGTTAGTATTTTTTTTTTATGAGCAGACGTATCACCTGATGGTAAGCAATCAGTGCTGCTATAGACCACAATAACACCAGAGGACCCACTTAGCTTATAGACAAAATTCCCTGTTGCTTGGCGACTGGGCTTTTTCCAGGTGTGTAGCCTTTTTGTGCCATTAAGCTTAAGTCATTCTGTCTTCTGCACCGAAGGAGGTGGAAACGATCGTTTTTTCTTCTTCTCATAACATAACATCACATCTTTTATCCCCGAAGGGGTAGGCAGAGGTGCACACAGAAGTAACACTCACTTTTCACTATTTATGTTATGAGTCCCATGTAATAGGCGGCAAGCCATATACCGGGCACATTTCAAGATTTCGTGCTACTACTGAGATTAAAAACCCAGTAATACTTTGCCCGACCCGGGAATCGAACCCGAGACCCATTGCCTGGTAGTCGCACTAGCTGGTAGACCACTTGGCCAACGAGGCAGTCAGTTTTTTCTTCTCCTTTTATAATATCATTATCATATTCATTGCGAGATCTAAGACAGTTATTCCTGTGCCTTGGACGCGCTGGACTTCGGTGTTCCGGTGTTTTCATGGTTAAACTGAATTTATTAACTACTAGTGACCCGCCCCGGCTTCACACGGGTGCAATATGCATGTATAGTACATATAAATTAAAAAAAGCCGCATCAAAATCGGTTGCGTAGTTGTAAAGATATAAGCATACATAGGGACAGACAGACGGCGGATAGCGACTTTGTTTTATACTATGTAGTGATTTAACGTTTCATTCCAGTTCCAATGCTGCGGTACAAACGGAACATCTTCTTATACTGCAGCTGGTCGCCTAATACCAGTTTCATGTTGTCCAAATCCGAACGCACAAAATCCGCCCCCGTGCGACAGCGCAAATGCATATGGCGGCTGCACTGACAAACTGAGCGATTACTTCGACACCTTCGGAGAAGCCATTGGAGGAGTCCTTATTGTTGTAATCATTGTTGAGGTGAGTTCACTATATTTTAAACAGACTTCAGAAAAACGGAGATCGTCATTTTGACCTATCTTTATCTTTACATATATAATTCTTCTGTGAGTGTGTATGTCACTGAACTTCTCTCAAACAACTGGACCGATTTTGATGAAATTTTTTGTTGTGTTCACGGGGATCTGGGAATGGTTTAGATTCACAAATCAGCCCGGCAGATGGCGCTGCAGTCAATGTTTAGGTTATTTATCCTAAACAGCTGAACTAATTTGAATGAATTTTTGTTTATACATTTAAGTTGATATGCGGGACAACGTCTGTCGGGTCCGCTAGTATGTATATAAAAATGTTATCCAGTAAGTAAAGAATACGATAGAAAAAATACCAAGTTGAGGCAGCCATATTGGATTTTTTGCGTGACTAAAAGAAATAGAAATTATCGTTTTTTGTGTTTAATTAACAAGTTATTCCCTTGGCAATGAAAATACGCCAAAACTAATTAGATAATTACCGAAATTAGTTTAGTTCTTGCGTGATATCGTGTCTAAGGGGATTCTAGACTTTTATTTATATTGAGTCGCCGTTTGACCACTATCTCGCCTGGTGGTGCACGATGATGGCGCACGTCGTCCCATAAGCAACCTATTAGGACAAGACTATTATAAAACTTATTTTAATATAGACTATATTGACTTTGACTAGTTTTTGGTTTGAATTTGCTCGCGTTAATTATAAATTAAACCTTCCTCTTGAATCACTCAATCTATTATAGAAATCGCTTCAACTTCCGTTGCACAGTTTTAAAGATCTGAGCATGCATTGGGGACAGACAGCAGGAAAGCGGGAGGTGACTTTGTTTAGTACTATGTATAGAAATATTTTTTTTAATAGTTTAGGGCCCTCGTAGTCTGCAGATTTAAAAAACAGTGTGTTTTATTTTATTTTTGGAGAAAACCATTTCGTTAACTGATTAAAAACGTAATATAAACGTCCGTACCTCGCTAGTATTTAACATAACTGTAAAAATAACAGTTTATCTGTCACGCTTTCACGCATAAACCGCTGGACCGTTCGCGATGAAATTTGCTACGGAGATAAACTGAACCGAACTGATTGAAAGGACCGACAGACATCTGGTATCCGATTGATTGCGCAATTAATCTGGCGGCGTGATCAGGTCGGACGCCAGCATAGAATGTTACGGAAAGCTCATCCACGCTGGTCGCGCCACCATCAATTAATTACTGTAGCGGTGTAATCACTTAGCCCGACCGCCACGGTGGCGCGACTGGTTGCGCTGCCATGGTGTCCCAGTGAAGTATAGTCCTTAGTCAGCACTTACAATGAAGAATACGGGTGGTGATACTTTTGCACCCTGCCATAAATACAATCAAATATCAAAACAAATTATTAATTATATTTTTTTTCTTTTTCAGTGTGTCTGTGTCATCTTCGGGCTGTTCATGTGCTGTCAGATAAGAGCACGGAGGAATTAAGTTAAAATATAACCTTTTTATCGTTGGACCTTTTTTAAAAAAGGGCACACGATAAACTGAACGATGCCATCTCAAAACTTATAATTTATATTATAATTTATAGTTTACTATAATTACCATAATTTTAGTGAAAACATATTTTTATTACGTAATAATGATAATAAAGTATCATTTTTTAAGTAATTTGTTTGTTTTTCTTTTATTTGTCTTTTAGTGATAGGTCATAGATGTTAGGTACTCTATGCTTATTTCCGTGACATAAAAAGCAGACTATGTAATATGTATTACCCCTGTTTAAACTTCATACAATCCCTTCACTTGTTTTGGACGGATCAAGTAATAATCATACACTGAAATACACAAACTTTCACAATGTATTATAGTATTAGCATGATCCTAGTTTAGTTAAACTTATAAATATATTCCTTTAGCATATCAGTGTAGCAAAACAATTTTATGAACACTGTTAATACGAATGAATTAAGAAGTGTGTTCCTTGTCTGTGGTCCACAGATAATAATAGATATTAAGTACATAATCTATCATTTCAGGTCTGTGGACCATGGACAAGACTTCATTTTTCATTTTTCTTTAGAATAGCTTATAACTTTGAACCTTGGTATTTTTAATTTATATTACTTAAACTGTCAAATACCAAGCGGTCACCGGTGACCGCAACCTATTGTTCTTTAATTGTGTCTACAAAACCGGTACTCGACGAGTTAAATCTCCAATATTTCTGTTTTTGTAATAACTTTCTATTTTCTTCTCTTCTTTCTATAATACCTACCTAGGTTTACCCTTGCTTTATATTATATTAAATTTTTTTAGTATGTTATGTGTGTTCTGCACAGGAAGAAATGGTTTTTCTTTCTTTCTTTCTTCTTTCTATCATGTGGGAGCCCACTACTGGACTATAGGCATCTTCTACAAAAGAGGGGCCCACATGTTTGCAGGCAGATTGGAAATCACAGTTTTCAGCAAAGTTCAGGCTTATTTGAAAGTGCTACTGCCTGAACTTCGTCAATTGTTAAACCTTTTGAATACACCGATATGAGACACAATAGAAAATGCATGGTGTCTCATGTGGATCCACATCTTAGACACACAAAAGGTTAATAATTTCTTAGTTGGCTCTTTTCTCTGATAGCCATAGGAAAATCACTAAAAATTATAAAGTAATTAGCTTCATGTAGACTGCCTCGTTGGCCAAGTGATCGCAAGCGCGACTGCCGGGTAAGGGATTTCGGGTTTGATTCCCGGGTTGGGCAAAGTATTACTGGGTTTTAAAAAAATCTCAGTAGTAGCACAGAGTCTGGAAATGTGCTCGGTATATGGCAATAGGATCATCCCCTATTACATGGGACTCATAACATAGATAGTGAAAAGTGGGTGTTACATTGTACAGTGGTACAATGTGCACCTCTGCCTACCCCTTCATAGCTTCATAGTTTCTGAATAAAGCTTGAATCTATACAGATAAATAAAATTGGAGTGTTGTTTGTATATTAAAATAACCGCTTTTTATTGCCTACACATGCATATGAATATGATACACATACTACAATATATTTTTGTCTGTCTGTCTGTTTGTTCGTTTGTACTGGTTACTTTTCTAGTCTAAAATGGCTGGACCGATTATGACAGGAGTTATTGGCTAAAAAAGGCTACATTTATTTTGAAAAATTATAACAAAAAGTTATTTCCTAAAATATAATATTCTGTGCGCACAAAGTCAGCAATAACTAGTAAATTAATATTGAAGGGTAACGGACTAATTGGTGTAGCGACATTTTGGGTGATATTGAGTTATATGTATATTCATAATCAGCAAATTCTTCTCCGTCGAATATCGCTCAAAATGTTGCTTAAACTAAATAGTCTGTTACCCCTCGATATATTTAGCAATAAATAAAGACATTTAAAGCTATCAGAAATACTCATTAATAAGAATAAGTAATTTAAGTGATATTATTGAAATGCAGTTCAGTTTCAATTCACCAAAATTAAAAAAAATTAAGTTATAATCTATCAGTCCTCTAGTAAAGTGTAGATTCCTATGTAGAAGAATGAGCAAGAAACTCCATAGGTTACACTATGTATTCATTTCCTTTCAATCAAGTTCATAACACAAAGAAACACTGTAGGGCATACCATAAGCTTTTTCTAATTCAGCAAAATTAAAGACTTCATTATGTATCAACAAATTCCCATAGAATTTATTAAATACAATAAAAAAATTATAACGGTAGTATTGGTCAGGTCAGTGGATCATCTTAGGGGCGATTTCTTTATTATTGTCAATGTCAAATAATATTTTCTTTTTATTTATCGCTAAAAATATAGACAAAAAAAGTAGTAGCGCGACTAAATATTTAAAAAAAAATTGCCGGCAAAAGCAATATTTTGGTCAGAAGAAAGTAGTATTGTAGATGGCAGATAAATGTTATTTGTATAAGATTATTTTTATATTATTTTTATTTACCTGATATCAAGGGGTGGTACTTCTATTTCCAATTTAATATTCACGGATTGAGGCAGTTCCCTGGACTGTAAAGGCTCTGAAGAATCAACCTTTTCGTCTTCAATAACTTCCTCAATTTCTTGTTTCACCACAACATATTCAAAAGCCATATTTTTTTAATAACACACACTTTTCATTTTCTATAATTCACACAATAAAAATTATTTTCGGTAATCGCAACCAAATTCAGACATTTTTTACGATATTCGTTTGACAGCAATCGCTAGTGTTGCCATGTGATATTAATATAGATTTGATTTGATATCGCTGTCATTGCGGTGAGATGGTCGACCACCTCGGCCACCACGGCCTATCGTGTAGCAGAAGCGCGGGCCGGATAGCCCGACACGCCAGCATTAACGACATCATCCGTCGAGCTCTTGTCATCGCCGGTGTACCAGCTGTTCTGGAACCAAAGGGTTTGGCACGCGACAATGGTAAGAGACCCGACGGTATGTCCATTATGCCCTGGAAGCTGGGAAAGTCTTTGGTGTGGGACGCAACCTGCGTCGACACCCTTGCACCTCCTCATCTTCCAGTAACGGCGAGTTGTGCTGGTTCGGCTGCTGCCTCTGCAGAAAACCTCAAGCGGCGCAAGTATAACAACCTTGCTGGTAGTTATATCTTTGAGCCGTTTGGGGTTGAAACGTTAGGTCCGTGGGGTCCGAGTGCGCTTAAATTGTTCAAAAACATTTCGAAACGCCTGGTCGACACATCTCGTGACCAGAGGGCTGGTCTTTTTCTCGGTCAGAGGTTAAGCATTGCCATACAACGTGGCAATGCTGCCAGCCTTCTGGGTACTTTCCCCACTGACGTCGATGCGGACGAGTTTTTCGATGCCTTATTGTAAATAGTTTATTTTTCCTATAATTAATTTTAATCATAAGTTGTATATATTTAATTTAGTAATATTTAAGTAGTTTTAATTTTATTTATGTAATAGTTGTTATTTAAGTTTTTTATTCACCAAATAAATAGGAACACTAACCTTTGACAGAGTTCAATTCAAATCATGTCCAATGGATGGGCAGCAAATTAATATCGATAATTGGATATCATGATTGATGATGTTGTTAAAAAACTGGAATTAATTTGACAGTTTATTAACATTTATATATTCAAGAATCAAGATGTATTGCAATATCGTTATCGTAAAATAGTATTATTTTTTAGTTCTAGTTATTAATGAACTTGTAGCGACACTAACGTGTTGACATTTTTTATGTGTTCTCAAGTGCGTAGCTGCGCCTGCGACCCTATAGCGTTAGCACGCCAGTCGTCTCCCAGCTTTGGTGTTAACCAGTAATATTTTGTAATATTATAGATTAGTTGTGAATTGTGTATTTCTTAGAACAATATATGAATGAATAAATGTCATTTATTTCCAAGTATATGGTACATTGAGGTTTTACATTAAATATTGTTTCACATACACTACCATTGCTGGTGTAGAAATATTATGTTAACCATGCTTTATAAAATAAAATAAAATAATAAAAAAAAAACTAGTTATAACTTTAAGCTACAATAATTAATACTTACAGCTTTAATTAAGCTACAATAACACAAAGTTTTACCTATTTTATTTTGGACTTTCATTGAACACACGAACTATTCTGGAGTCAAGTGAATTTAAATAAGAATACACACCAACATTCTAAAAACTATACTAAACAACCTGCAATTTCACTCGCGATTTCAGTACTTTGACAAATAGCGCCAAATCTTCAAATTTCATTTATTTGTTCAGTAGCATTTGGGTAAAAGAGTAGCTGAAGGAATAACGCTTCGTATTTCTTTAAATAAAATTGCAGCGACCGACCACAGATAGCGTACCTACACTTTTTAAATACAGAAAAGAAATAAAAAGATGACGTCCTTGCCACTAGGCAAAACAACATCTACGTGTTATACTAATAACACGTAGATGTTGTTTTCATAAAGAAATCGAGCGATTCAGGCCCAACACAAGTATTATAGGCAAGGCAGGAAGGCAGGAAGGCAGCCCCTGTAAGTTACTAACTTACAGGGGCTGCCTTCATGTTAGACAATATGAATTGTAATTCTTGAGATAGGTTTTAAACAATTTTGTTTTTCAATTTGGATGACCGAGCTTTGTTCAGTGGTTTTTTTTAATAAATGTCATTTTTTTAATATGAAGTCTAGCTAGATCAATTTATCGCCCTCGAAACGTCCTGAGTACAAAATTTCAAAGAAATGGTTGAAGCCGTTTGCGAGATCGTTGATATACATACAAACGAATTGCTTGCTTATAGCTATTAAATCAAGTAAAATGGGAGGACATACACAGATTTATTCAAGTCATGGGTGTCAATATAATTTAATTTTTATAGTTCGTTTTCTTATGATGGGTCGAATTGTCTCTTTCTGTCGACTATTGACCAGGATGGTCCTGAGTGCATTTTATACAACGTGACACACGCCCCTCTGTACAAGGGATGCCAGTCTGAAAAAACATTATTTTTAATCTGTGGGAACTAAAAAGCCCTTGTACTATTTGGATTCTAGGCTTTTTAGTTTGAACACTACAAATTTTTTTATAGAATCAAAATCACAATTGCAGTGCCATTTTCCTTTTTTAAATAGTTTTCGGTAGATTGTAACTAGATATTTTTATTATTATTTGAATCAACGAAATCTCCCGGTATTTTACTTACGTGGTCCTGAAAATAAAAAAAATAATATATAAGATGGTTTTATCTTTATAATTATCAATAATGACAAGCGGGTTTTTTACGGGAATATCAAGTGGGTGGCCGTCCACAGCTGGACCACGAATCTTCACTCCATAATATGGGGGGTTAGATGATATCCTTGTTCTTAGACCGGTGGTACCTAAATATCTATAACGATCACATCTTATTTCCATTCAGGAATTACAAGGCTTCAAATTTTTAAATTAGAACAGCTAAGGTGTGGAATTCTTTGTCAGAGTCAGTGTTTTCCGTAGGGTAACCTGGTTGTCTTCAAGGCCCGAGTGAACAGGTTGCTTGTGTAGGCGTGCACGATCATTGGACGTATCATGGTTCACCACCAATAGCACCAGGCGGAATAGTGGACAAACACTGACTTGACTTATTGCCAATATACAAAAGACATAAAAAATAATTTAAATGATTTTAAAAGTAAGCATTTACGGTCATGCCAACTAAACGTGTATACAAAATGTCAGATCAATCGATTGAAGATATCTGCTTCAAAATATAGTTGCAAGATTCGACTACACCTACATAATTATGTATGTACATTAAACATACCTTGCAAGTTAAGTTAAATTTTCTAAAAATGGCACTTACGCTTTGTTAGTTGCCTACAATTGTATTGTTCCATTTCACACATGTTTGAGAACGTTTTATATTCGTTCTTCCTTTGTATCAGGCTATACCGATGGCAGCAAACTACACCGTGCCTAAAATTTTAGTTTTTACTCATTATTATCGTCATAATCTAGGGTGAATTAAACCTAAAGAGCACTGTAGGCACCCCAGCGTCCGAGCGTACGGCGCCTCGCGTTCCACGCGCGCCTCAAAGAGCCATCAGACCACCACGGATCACCCAACAGGACTGATGCCGATTCGGAGTCGCGGAGAACCTAAGTCCGGCTCGAAGCGCAGGAGAAGGAACGGGGTGGTTTTTAGTCAGTAGGAGTCTGACACTCCCTCCCTGGCAGCATGTTGGTTCGGCTCCACTGGACAATACTCAAATGTAGTCAGTAGTTAAATTCCAATAGTAGGTAATATAATACATAATTTAATACTTTAATTCTAATGTAGACAATCTAGTTTCCTTATGGCATCGAGCATTTCTTTCTTTATTGAAACAAAGAGTTTCCTTTTTCTTGTATAGAAGCACTATTTCTATGGATTGTCAGTATGCATATGTGAGCACCATGTTAGACTTAAAATTTTTTATTTTTTTTATTTTAGTAAGTTATATTAGTATAATGCGTCAAGCGTGTCTTTGCATTGTTCTTACATATGCGTACAGTATTGAAATATGTATCAGAGACATTGTAGAACATACTTTTTTAAAAGAGTAACGAATGGAGTTTCTTGCTCGTTCTTCTCCATTCGAACCTACGTTTTGGAATGAGCACCTAGCTTCACCTAATTTCACTGACGGACTGACTGACAGACTATTATTTATTTGTTAACGTTTCAAAAGTACCAAACCCTGGTTTAATTGAAATAAATGCTTTTGACTTTGACTTTGATTTTGACTCCTGCCTCACCCAGGCGGGAGCAGTCATTTGATGATTTTCCCCCCTTAGAAAAAAGGCACCCCAGCGTCTCATAGGCGCCCCTAATATTATTGGCGCCGCTGTCATTCTTGTGGCAGTTGAGTACCTACGCGCGTCTCGCGGCGCCTCTATGTAACCTGGCGCCCTAGGCCTTGCCTTGTTTGTCTTAGGGAATACGGCTCTGGTGCCGAGTATAACATTAACTGGTTACCGTTATTATTGTTTTATATATGTCTTTCCCATTCACGGAACCACTGGGTCCCGATCATTTATTTTTTTAAAACATTGCCCCACATCAGGATTTTCTCCTTTGTCGTGGGTGCGTTTACAAACATACAAGTTCATATACACAATGACACCCAGACCCGAAACAACAATTTGTGGATCACACAAAGTGTTGTTCCGTGCGGGAATCGAAACTGCGACATGTTGCACAGCAACTGGTTGCCCAGCCACCGCACCAACCGTGCGGTCGCGTATTTGGGAGGCGTGCGTAATGGACACTTAAACCGGCGACTATCTCTGTATGCACTATGGAAATGCACCCAAGGACAGTCCCCGGTTAGTGTAGGACTATTGTGGATAATTTTGACGTGACAACGTCTTAAATTAGGTTGCGGCTGGGAGTCACTTATGAAAAAGTGTAACGCTCGGTAACGTTACGATGAGTCACCGAACGAGAGAGAGGCCCGCCGAATGCCTTGCGTCTCTCTCCCACTCAACTATGATCGGTCTGCCGCGCGCGCAGCACTAGTTCATTCAATTCCTTGTTCCTATTGTGCAATTTAATTATATTCATATCAATAAATATTCTACCGAGAAAAAGACGTTGTCACGTAAAATCTTCGCCCGTAAAAACGACTTTACAGGCAACCATTTTTTTATTGTTATTATGAGATTTTTAAACTTGTGTAGACTATTTATAAACCATTTATCAACTGGTTCTATTGATATTACCAATTGTTTTATCCCTGATGTTTATTCCAAATCAGGGAAAAAAATAATAATACTACTTCTGTGTTGTGTCATCCACTACTCGACTACTAAAGATCGTACTGTCATGTTTTATAGCCTTAGTTCCTTACTATATAATATTATAAATCGGAAAGTGAGTTTGTTTGTTTGTTTGTTCCGCTTTCACGCCGTAACTACTAAACCGATTGCTTTGAATTTTTGCAGACGTAAAGTAAGAAGTCTGGATTAAATAATAGGGTACTTTTTATCCCGGAAAAATTTGATATTCTCGAGGGAAAACGAAATTATTGGTATAGATGGCGCTGTGTGTATTGGTATATATTATGTCACGTAGGCTACTTTTTTTCCTTTTGTGACGCGAGCAAAGCCGCGGATTAAAGCTAGTAGAAAATACAATGTGTCTCGCGTGGATCCGCGTTTAGATACACAAAAGGTTAATGGACTATCCAACACAGAAATAATTATTTAATTTGAACCAGAAGTTCCGGAGATCAGTTCGTTAGAAAAAAAACAAACTTTCGCATCTATGTAGGCAGGTATCTAAAAGCAAGTCGTGATAGTTACACTACTTATAACTAAAGAACGGCTAAATCGATATGAATGAAAATTGGTGGAGAGGTAGCTTAGAACCAGGAGTCGGACATAGGATACTTTTTATCCAATACTTTTTTTACTTTTTATCGAAAATCACGAACGGGAACGGGAAAAAACGGGATTGCACGGGCTGAAGTTCCGGAAGAACTTCCGGAATTCATACATCATTTTAAAGTATTATTTCGCCCAATTATTATTTTTAATTTACTTCGTTGTATTTAAATCGAATAACAATATTTAAAAGGTGTTTATTTATTTAATATAAAAATTTAGTGGTATCGTACGCACTACTTCCGGTTGTATCATTACGTTTTATTTAAAATATCGTTCTATGGAGCTTCCGGTAGAACATACCTCTACATGAAGTGGGGAGTAGTGCGCACGATGGTAGGACAGTCGATGTCGATATGTCGAAGCAGAGACAAGTGTTAAAGTGATTTGTGAAAATCAATACATAGTATAAAACAAAGTCGCTTTCGCTGTATGTCCGTATGTATGCTTAGATCTTTAAAACTACGCAACGGATTTTGATGCGGTTTTTTTTAATAGATAGAGTGATTCTTAAGGAAGGTTTGTATGTATAATACATGCATATTGCACCCGTGCGAAGCCGGGGCGGGTCGCTAGTCTATAATAAAAGTATTGGCCGATACAAATTGGTTTTATTATCCCTGAACGTTTATAGTAGGTACTCACTTTTTAAAATAGTATGAGCAAAATGGATCGCAATCCTGCGGGTTTGTAGTTGCGACTGTAAAATAAATATTCATGTGAAACCACTCAACCATATGTAGAGATGGCAGGGTAGAACATATTACCTGTAGGGTGAGTACCCTGCAGGTGTTTTCAAACATCATCATCAAGCGTGGGACAGCCATGCTCCGGCACGAAACCGGAGTGATACCACGGCCGAGCAGAAAACCGACGTGAAACAACGCTTGTGTTGTGTTTCGTCGTGTAAGTGAGAGTACCGGAGGCCTAATCCTCCCCCTTCCCAAATCTCCTCAATCCTTAAAATCCCAAGAATCCTCAAATACCTAATCTTCAAAATAAGTATAGTAACACCTCTGGTGTTCCAGGTGTCCATGGGCGACGCCGATTGCTTATCATCAGGTGAACGGTTTGATCGTTTATCGGCTTATTTCATAAAAAAATGCAGAAAAAATGGGCATGTGCGTCTTGAGGACCATCCTCCAAAACCCGGCGCCCTAGGCACTAGTTTGCCTTATTCCGGCTCTGGAGACGAAACATTTCTATGTAAATATTTTTAACTTACAATATACTCGCGAAGTGGTTTGATCTCGACCCGAAGGTGTCGTTGGTGTTCTGAAAATATAATATTGTTGTTATCGATGTTGCCATCTACCGAGCAAGGAGTTTTAGATTCGATTAGAGTCGGCCGTTGGGCATGAGTACGTCAGGTTAACATTATCCCATTTTTTTTTTATTTGATAGGCTGGCATTTGACCTCTATCACTACGTAGGGATAGAAACCATTGTTAACTATTATGCTATACTGTAAGATGTCAATTGGAACTCTCGAAATGAGCTCGATCGCATTCTAGGCCGTTGTTGGTCGAGGGTGGTCTCGCAACCAATGGCGTACGGCGCGTCGCGTTCCGCGCGCGCCTCAAAGAGCCATCAGACCACCACAGATGGGGCCCCATAGGGCTGATGCCGATTCGGAGCCGCGGAAAACTTAACGGGTTACAGGGCTCCGGCTCGAAGTGCAGGAGTAGGAACGGGGTTGTTTTTAGTCAGTAAGAGTCTGATACTCCCTCCCGCCTCACCCAGGCGGGAGAAGTCATTCGATGATTTCCCCCCATAAAAAACCAATGATATGGCGGACCGCGATCGAGTTCATTTCTACCTTTCGAATTAAAAGTTGCAGCATTGCCTAGCAGGCAATGCAAGACAAGGCAAGACAAGACGAACCTTTCAAATACCCAGTGTCCATCTTCCCAGTAGGGCTCCCGAATATCTTCTATCCGTGCTGTTGGAGAATTTTGTTCTTCCGCTTCATTCATTTTTTTTTTCATATTTTTCATTCCTGCTTCGCTATTCATTTGCCTGCGTCTGTTGAAAAAATAATCCTGCGTCTTCCTCATCTTCATCAGCAGTCTAGCTGGACATAGGCCTTTCCAATGGCACTGTTATTATAGTGTTGGGTACTTCGGAATAAAAACCTACCCTATGTTATGTTAATTGTGTATTATTAGCTTCTGCCAGCGGCGTCGTCCGTGGTCCCAGTATAATAATTAGGTACCTCGTGTGTTCTTCCAGACTAAAATCTATATCTGTGCCAAATTTCATCTATATCCAGTCAGTAGTTTCTCGTGATATAGTGACACATTCATACATCATACAAAAGGTTAGTAAGATGTATAAATAGGTAGTTATATATCAATTACCAATGTGACTTTTTCCGAGTTATGTACCTACTTTGACTGACGTATGTCAGTCTAAACAATCGTCTAAACGCCATAAGTATTTACGGCGCAAGGAACCACTGTGAGGATGAGGAAACCTGGACTAATAATTTCTAATCATAAGTTTGAGTAATCGGCAACCAGCATTCAGAAGGCGTGGTCATTAATGCTCAGACCTTCTCTGTGTGAGAAGAGGCCTTTTTTATGGCATAAGTCGGTAAACGAACAGACGGATCACCTGATGGTAAGCAATCGGCGTCGCCCATGGACACCTGGAACACCTTTGGTCAGCACTTGGCCACTTATAGGCCACTGTTATTGCGGTTATATACTTACATGTCAATAGCAGTACCATTTCTTTCTATCAATTCATTATTATGCAGTTTAGTTGTATTCGGATTTTTTGACAAATCTACTATTTTAGTAAAATTTTGGAATTTTTCGGAATTTTCAATACGAGGTATATCTTCTGGAATTATATTCGGAGGGCTTCCAGTAAATGATAGTGTGCTGAAAAAATAATAATGCGAAATAAAATAAAAAAAACTACATGAATTTAATTCGAGTCCGGTAAATAAAATAAGTACCGATGATAATAGGGTAGTTAGAGTTATTTATTATTATTTATTTATTTATTTTCAGCCATGATCGTCCCACTGCAGGGCAAAGGCCTCCCTACCCTCCTTCCACTCCTCTCTATGTAAAGCTTTTTTTTTAATGTATGTCTGGTACATTAATTTAAAACTTTAGTCACGTATTTTTTCTTTTCTCACAAAATTAAATACTTTCGACGATATATTAATTTGAAATATCGTGTGACCGTTACAACGTTATGACGTAACGACCAACTCCCAAACTTAGCGCCATTTTATCAAGTAGTATTGCAAGTATTGCAACATAATACGAGAAAATAAAAAAATACGTGTCTAATATTTTTTCATTATTTAACTGACGGACTAATTAAATTTTTAATTTTGATACCCTGGAAACTATCCTATTATAATTATCTTTGAGAACATAAACTGTCTGTTGACAGTTCACTGCTGGAATATAAGCCTCCTATACATAAGAGGGCTTTGCCTTATATGGGGTTGATAAAATCAAAATGGGACTTTCGTTTATTCAGATTCAGTCAGGCATCTAGTAGCTAGATGCTCATAAACAACCTGTACGTGTAAACATTAACTTTGTGCCCACAGCAAAAATGTAGGAACTTAAAGATTTTTTGATTGCATTTCGTCAAAAATTAGCGATTTATGTATGACTAGCGACCCGCACCGGCTTCGAACGGGTGGAATATACGTGTATTATTATACATATAAACCTTCCTTAAGAATCACTCTATCTACTAAAAAAAACCTCATCAAAATCCGTTGTGTAGTTTCAAAGATCTAAACATACATACACACAGACAGCGGATAATGACCGTCCGAACGGTTGTCGCATAAGTTTGATATTTCAAATTTTCGATTGTATTTGAAGAATTGACTCGTAATTGTGAGGACCTCCTCCTTTTCTTTGAAGTCAGTCGAAAAGGGGCAGTCACGTAGCCCGTTCCAAACGTCTGGTCATGTTAGGTATCACTTCAGTCGTGGTATACTTACGGTATCGCTAAAGGCCGGTAAGTCGTTGATTTTGTCAGTTTAGCAAGCTTATATTCATCGGATTCAATCACATAATTCCTCCATAATTCTTGTAATTCAGAATCGACGTATATCTTTGAAACATCCTCTTCATAACCTAATTCTTTAATTCTCTTTATATTAGTTTTTATGATATTTGTGATTCTATCATTGTTTTCCGAAATAGCTACATTTACTAAAAAAAAACGATAAGAAATTATTGTTTTCCTAATTATATACATTAGATTACATAACATCACGCCTTTTATCCTCGAAGGGGTAGGCAGAGGTGCACATTATACCACTGTACAATGTAACACCCACTTTTCACTATTTATGTTATGAGTCCCATGTAAAAGGGGGTGAGCCTATTGCTATATACCGGGCACAGTTCCAGACTATGTGCTACTACTGAGAATTTTTAAAACCCAGTAATACTTTGCCCGATTCGAACCCGAGACCCCTTACCCGGCAGTCGCAATTGCGACCACTCGGCCAACGAGGCAGTCATCCTCATCCATTTTCCTAATTTTAGGTGGATAAATGAGCAGACGGATCATCTAATGGTAAGGAATCGGATGCCCATGGACACCTGAAACACTAGAGGAGTTATGAGTTGTGGAGAAGGCAAGAGTTACTGTAGCTCCAGCTTAACCCCTAGAGGCTTACTCTTGAATCCAATTCCGATCGATCGACATTGGTATCGTGAAATGTCGTACTCTCGAGCTGCAACACAAGCGCCCATTACATCCGTATTGCGTGGATATTAAATGAACTAAATAGTATTGAGTTTGGCTTTATATTCCGTACTCTGAATGCTATTTTAACAGCTACGGTAAGGGTTGTATAGTTATGACATTGAAGCATTATTGAGATTTTATTGAATTGGAATTGCATTGACATTGAGATTGGTTTCAAGAGTAAGCACCCTGGTATGCCGGAACGTAGACATAGATACGCGAAACACAATGTGTTTTATATTTTGTCTCGCATGTCGACAGATAAGAGGTTAAAGCTGGAGTTAGAACGACATGGTTTTTAACCAGGATGGGAGGAGTCATTCGATGAAATTTCCCCTTAAAAAAGTGCGTTCTCGTTTGATTGTGGAGGGGATCATATGTCCGATACTATTGTAATCGACCACGATTCCATCATTCATCATGCGTACAACCACACCCTGTCCATTGCCTCAGAGTCTTTCCCCAATGACTACATATCGCGAGGATAGCTTGGCTCATAACTTTTGTTTAAATGAGAGGTGATACAATATTTGCAGCCTTATTTTTTGAGGGGGGAAAATCATCCAATGACTTCTCCGCCCGGGTGAGGCGGGAGGGAGTGTCAGACTCTTACTGACTAAAAACCACCCCGTTTCTTTCCTACCGGCTCCGTATCGGCATCAGCCCTGTTGGGCCCCATCTGTGGTTGTCTGATAGCTCCTTAAGTGTTCGCTGTCCGCAGGCCCGTGCTTACGGTGGCCGGAGATCGTCTCGCGATCCCCGACGCCCGGAATGTCTCTCGCGACGGCCGGGGCGTGAGGAATTTCGTTCCCTCACGCGCTCCGCCTCCTCCTTAGCTATCATGATTGCTTCGCAGAAATAGGAGACGGCATCCCAGTTCCCCTCGCTCCGTACCATGGTCTGAACCAGAGCCGGACGCGAGAGGTCGCCGTCGCCGATCACATCCGGAGGACACGGCGGTGCTCAGCCCACGCAGGACACACCGCCACCGTATGCTCCACCGTGTCCTCCGGGAACATGTGCCTTGAGAGTACGGTTATCGGGGGCTCAATTCTCTCCATTTCCCAAAAAAAGGCACTTGTAGTTCTTTTAGTGTTTCCGGGTGTCCATAGGCACCGCTGATTGCTTACCATCAAATGATCCGTCTGCTATACCATTATATATGCATATATACTGCTATACCATATACCATAACAATTGAAACTTACAATAAAAAAGCAGAATTAAAAATATTTTCATATTGGTATAACTTTGGTAATTCACATCGTTTCAGCGACTGCCTACACTCACATCATGGTTAATTTAACTTTTAAATTAAGTGGACAAAATACCGATTCTGAATTATGTATTATTTGTTCATGGTGACCGCCGGTCGAGTGATTGGAAATGTGACTGCCGAACAATTTAGTCACTCGGTGGCGCTATAGACCAAGCACGAGGTCTGATCATTCAATAAAAAATTGTGTTGATACTGACTAGTGCCGCAGTGGACAAGTTAACGGGTTGCCGGGGCTCCGACTCGAACTGCAGGAGAAGGAACGGGGTGGGTTTTATTTTAAAAGACTTCATGCACACACTAATGTACAAGGTGGGCTTAATGCCATGGGCATTCTCCTCCAGCCAGACCTTTGGGTGATGCAGAGACAAAAACAAAGGTCGATGCAAGAAGCAAGCGTATTTAGGACTAAACAGAAATACATAAAAAAGGATAGTATAGACTTACATAAAATAAATCCCTATATAAACTTACATGTATATGACATAACAATAAACTTACACAATTATATTACATATACTACTTAGACTTAACAAAACTATATACATAGTATATTGATAGTTACGACTCTGCCAATCTCTTCAAAAGTAGCTCCCGAACCTTGCGCTTGAATGACAAACGACTGGGCACCATCCTGATATCGGGAGGGAGAGCATTCCACAGAAGAATAATATAATTATAATTAAAACTGACTACTTATAATTAATTGACTGTTTACAATTGAAATGGACTATTGACTATGTATGTTCTTTGTGTGTTTGTGTAATTTATTATTTTGATTATTTGATGAATGAACGAATTGATTATTGTTTTTATTATTTTAAATTTATGATACTTGCTATAGAGTCAATTTGTTAATTTATTTATAAAATTTTGAACCTGAATTAAATTTTAATGTAATTTTATGGATTTTATTATATGAAATAAATTGGTATTATTATTATTATTAAAAATTATAGTCAGTAAGAGTCACCTAAACGGGAGAAGTCATTCGATAACTTTCCCCCCTTCTGGCTAGTGTCAAACTATTGAATATAATATTCAATTGGTTTTTAACAGCTACAGTAATAAGCGCCCTCTGAGTCAAAAACGCCAAAGGGAAGTTTCAAGTTCGGCGAAGGTTTAAAATTAAATAAAGAAATTCTACAGAAATATAATTAAAATAATTTATTTCACTTAATTATTATTGTAACTTACATTATAATATAGTAATAAATTAGGTACATTTCAATAATGTTTGGTACTCACCAGGTGGCTTACTCTTGAATGCAATTCCGATCGATCGACATTGGTATTGTGAAATTTCGTACTCTTGAGTGAGTATCAACACTAGCGCCAATTGCATCCGTATTGCGTGGATATTGAATGAACTAAATGTTATCCAGTTTGGCTTTATATTCCGTACTCTGAATGCTATTTTAACAGCTACGGTTGGGGTTGTATAGTTTTGATATTGAATAATTATTGAGATTTTATTGGACCGAATGCCTGCTGACTGTCGGCTGATTGGATTGACTGCCTCGTTGGCCGAGTGGTCGCCAAGTGCGACTGACGGGCAAGGGGTCTCATGTTCGACTCCCGGGTCGGGCAAAGTATTACTACTGGGTTTTAAAAAAATCTCAGCATTTGCACGGAATCTGGAATCGTGCCCGGTATATTGCAATAGGCTCACCACCTATTACCTCTACATGGGACTCATAACATAAATAGTGAAAAGTGGGTGTTACATTGTACAGTGGCATTAAGTGCCGTAATGTGCACCTCTGCCTACCCTTCGGTGATAAAAGGTGTGTTGTTATGTTACTAGATAGATTGCCATGAAATTGACTTTGAGATTGGTTTCAAGAGTAATCTCCTTGATGGCACAAAGATAACAGGAGTGGTAATTAGGCCTCCGGTAACCTCACTCATACGACGAAACACAACGCAAGCGTTGCTTCACGTCGGTTTTTTGCTCGGCCGTGGTATCACTCCGGTCGAGCCGGCCCAGCAGTGCCGAAGCATGGCCCTCCCACGCTTGTCCATTATTCTTGTTCATAATAAATAAATTAACACTATCATATAAAAATACATTATGTTATATTTTGCTATAATTAAGTAATTACATTTTTATTTTTTTAATATACAGGTGTATGAATAGGTCTTTATGTGTTATTGGCTATGTGCAAAGCGAGTAGTAGCGGACTGATAACGACCGCAGCGCACAACACGGCAGAAATTGGAAACAAATGCGGATAATCAGCTGTCAAATGTGTTGATTGCAGTATAAAATCAAAGCAAAGAATAAGAATAAGAATAGAATAAGAATAATTTATTTGTGTGTACTCCACTTACAATGTTTTTTTTTTTAATTACTATATTAAAATAAAATTATGCTAGACTATTAACTAGATAATAATAATACATTATTTTGCTTAAAACTATGGACAGAAAAATAATAGGACTAATACTAATATTTGTCGCGATTTGCTTGAACTAGGTTTATGCAACCTGTGTTTCAAGTCATCACTTTATTACTATTCATGTTAAATCTATACAGGTTTGTATTATCACCTACTTAAATAAAATTTAGAAATTATAAAACAAATTAATCTATGTATGTGACCTACTTAAAGTAATTGACCTTAAACACTAATTAACTACGTCAGTACATCTAAAAGTTTTTCTGTGTCATTATAATTTAATTTCAGCAAGTACTCCGTTATTATGTTACAACATTTCTTATGACTAAGGCTGTATACATTACAAGATTTATTTATCTTATTGTACAAAAACGGTCCGAGAAACATATAAAATCTAGTGCAATAGGCATGTTTAGTTTGTCTAGTTTGGCAGACCAGATTATTCCTTTTCTTTACCAAAATTTCACGGTCATAGGTGAGATCCGAATGTTGAAAAAGAACGATGTTTAATATACTTAATTGCCGTACTGTAAGAACCTTACAGGCCTTGTAAAGTTCTTGAGTAGAAAATCTAAAAGGGCGAAATGTCGCAACCTTGAGGATGGCCCTCTGAGCACGTTCTAGTGGAAGCATTATTGTTTTAGCGGCACCTCCCCATGATGTTATGCAATATGTTAGTATTGATTGGCACAAAGCTAAATAGACTTGTTTAATTAATACATAGTCAGCTATATTGCGTAAATTTTTAAATACGTACATTAATTTACGTACTCTTGTGCAT